TACCAAACTCAGACTTGTCCAGACCAACTTTCTGCCATACTATCAATATATCCCTGACAGTATACTTGATAATGACCACTATAAGCTATACTGCGATCGCGCTGTGTTTACAGACCAACCAGAGGCACACAATAGACCAGATCTCATTCCAGTTAATAAAGTAACAAACGACACTAATAAATATGGCGCCACCTAAACCGCATAAACAACATCAGGTACGCTGATACTATTCGATATCAAGCAACACACAATACCTACAAAATATATTAAATACGGTAGGTCCTTTCAGCAAAATGTTCAGTTTAAATTAAAATTGATTCCAAAACTAAAAATTCTAGTATTTGTAAACATACCAATAAACACATTTGTATGCCAAGGGACAAAGAATAGATCACGTAACGTTTATAAAATATTTGGGAGCAAGTATCAACAATCGATCTAACCCAAAATAGAAATTATATTAAGAACCAAACAAGCGAGCAAAATACTCATACACATGAAACCTTTTTTACAAGATCAACCTTAGTCTAGAGCTCAGATGTTATGTTTTTGTCCTGCTGTATGACTGTAAGAGTTGGTAGGTGAGCCATATTATATATTAGGAGAAGTAGATGACAAAAGATCAGTGGAAAGATTCCAGAACTTGTGGCTAAAAGAACCTGAGATGGTTTGACCGCTCATCCACAGAAAGTTCTCGTGCAGCAGTTTCCAAAGCTACAATTAACCGTTGGATCGACAACCTGCAAAATAAGACGGCGCAATTAGAAGAAGAAGTGTTTTGGTCAGAATTAGCGTTATGTTGAGGTGTAGGGTTGAGTTGTAGAGGTAGCACCTTTCATCGGAACAACCACATCGAGCGTCATAGACGGAAGATGGTTCTTGATATCTGGTCCTCATAAGGTAACTAACTCTCACTTATGGCCCCACGTGCCACACCCCGGGCAACTGCATTGGTCTGCAGGCTAAACTAAGTGAGGGTAGCCAGATATGGCGAAAATTTTACCGAGCGATTGCCGGTATAAGCAATCCCACACTTACTGACCAACGGCTTCGGGCGGATGAGTTGGTAAGTGTTAGGGAACTTTTTTGTCCTGAGACCGAGAACCCTACAGAATGGTCAACGGCATAAGGATGCAGAAGGCAACGGGGAACCACTGCATTAAAGACTCATAGAGTACCCCTAGTAGTAATCATCATGGTAGACATGCAAAGGAAAAGTACTGATCATGGACATCGGATACCAAGATCCGGCAGAGAAAGAGAAATAGATAAGTACAATGCTTTCTCGGTCGTAAACCAGCGAAACCATTGTAAAAAGAAAAAGACAACCATAAAAATTGCTACATGGAATGTAAGGAGCTTATTCTCTTCGGGAAAATTAGATAACGTCGTGTTGGAAATGGATCATTTGGGTATAGACATATTAGGCACGAGAGATACACAATGGCCAGGAAACGGCAAATGTCCCACAAATAATCATGGTATGTTTTATTATGCCAGAAGTGACACCAAAACCCATCGATACGGAGTAGGAGTCATCATCTGAAAAAAATGGAAAGATGCTGTAGTAAACTTTACTCCATTCTCAGAGCGCGTGATGTTAATACAATTAAAAGATAAGAAGAACATGATAAACATCATACAAGTGTACGCTCCTACAGCAGACAAAGACGAAGAGGAAATAGAACAATTCTATAATATTTTAGAAGAGGTGATGAGAACAACAAAGAGACAACACATTAACATAGTAATGGGCGATCTGAACGCCAAGGTAGGTCAGGGTAAAGTTGAAGAAAATGTCGGTGAATATGGCTTAGGTAATAGAAATGAAAGGGGTGATCGTTTAGTTCAGTTTTGTCAAAGCGAAGATTTAATAATAACTAATACATTCTTTAAACTACCCCTAAGGCGACTATATACGTGGACGTCACCTCAACATACACAAGAAAAAGTGGTCAGAAACCAAATAGATTACATATTGGTGACAAAAAAATACCGTAATGCCGTAAAATCTAGTAAAACTTTCCCTGGAGCTGATATCGGTTCGGATCATAATCCAGTAGTATCTGTGATAGAAGCTAGACCAAAGAAAATAAGAAACGCCATCATTCCAGCATTAGACTTAAGCCAGCTTAAAAATGAACATCTACGACAAACAGTGCGAAAAGAAATGAACACCAGCCTCAGTGTAGCAGAAAGCCAAATCCGCAGAACAGACAACATAGATGAAAAACTTAAGTATATAAATACTGTAATAAGAACTACGGAAAAGAAACACCTAACCAAATCTGCAAAGAAACATAAGGTGTGGATGACACAAGACATTCTAGAACTAATGGATGAAAGACGTAAAATGAAGAATAATGCAGAAAAATACAGAGAGGTTGATAAGAACAGAAAGCAAAGAATAAGAAATGCCAAAGAATCATGGATTACAGAACAATGTGTAGAAATGAAAAACTATAAAAGAAAGTATGACACGTTCAATATACATAAAAAAGTAAGAGAAATTACTGGAACCCAAAGAAGACGTCAAATAAGTTTGCTTAAGAACAAAGATGGAAAGATTATTATAGATTTAACAGAGAAAATTAATAGATGGAGTGAATACATAAGAGAATTATGTGAGGACAACAGAAATAACATTGTTCTGATATATGGCGAAACGGGACCTGAAATTCTAAAATGTGAAGTAGAAATGGAACTTATAAATTCCAAAACTGGGAAGGCAAATGGACCGGATGAGGTTCCTACCGAATTGCTTAAGCTCTTGAATGATGAATCAATAGGTATAATATTGTACTTATTTAATACAATATACAATACTGGTATTATACCTCAAGAGTGGCTGTTGTCTACATTCGTTACACTGCCAAAGAAATCTAATGCTAAAGAATGTTCAGAACATCGAAAAATATTTTTAATGAGCCACCTACTAAAGATATTTCTAAAAATCATCCACAACCGAGTTTATCAAAAGTTGGAGTCAGATATTAGTAATACACAGATGGGGTTCAGAAAAGGGCTTGGTGCTCAAGAAGCTCTCTTCGGTTTCAATGTTCTTACACAAAGATGCCTAGACGTTAATCAGGAGGTACATACGTGTTTTATCGATTTTGAAAAAGCGTTTGACAGAGTACGCCATGATAAGCTTAGAGATATTCTTGAAAGGAAGGACATAGATAATAAAGATCTGCGAATAATTCTCAATCTATATTGGAATCAGAAAGCTAACATCAAAATAGAAACTGAAACATCACAAGCAATAGAAATACGTAGAGGAGTACGACAGGGTTGCATTTTGTCACCTCTGTTATTTAATGTATATAGTGAAAGCATCTGTCAGGAAGCCCTTTTACAAGCAAACGGAGGAATCGTAATTAATGGAGAGATTGTAAATAATATTAGATACGCGTACGACACTGTACTAGTTGCAAGAACAGTAGAAGAATTACAAAGATTACTTACAGACATAAATATTGCTTGCAACAATTATGGTATAAATATCAATATTAAAAAAACCAAGTATATGGTCCTCAGTAAAAACATGACACAACCAGCGTATATTAGTATAAACGGCACTCAAGTTGAAAAAGTATCAAGTTACAAATACTTGGGAACTTTAATAAACGAAACTGGAGACCAAAACAGTGAAATAAAAAGACGTATCGAAATTGCCAGGGCCACCTTCATAAAGATGAGAAAATTCTTCTGCAACAGAAATATAAGCATCCCTCTACAATTAAGAATGCTGAGAGGCTATGTATTTAACACGCTATTATACGGTGTAGAGGCCTGGACTCTCAAACAGAACAACATAAAAAATATTGAAAGTTTCGAGATGTGGTGCTATCGTCGAATGCTGAAGATTAGTTGGGTTGAAAGAATAACAAACTGTGAAGTAATACGAAGAATAGGAAAAGACCCGGATATTTTGTTAACGCTAAAGCGAAGAAAACTCGAATATTTTGGTCACCTGACGAGAGGACATAAATACGCATTACTTCAAAATATAATGCAGGGAAAAATAGAAGGAAAACGGAATCCAGGCCGTAGAAGAATGTCATGGTTGCGGAATTTGAGAAAGTGGTTTGGCTGCACCACTAATGAACTCTTTAGGTCAGCCGTAAACAAGGTCAGAATAGCCTTGATGATTTCTAATCTCCGATAGGAGTGGCACAAAAAGAAGAAGAAGAAGCGTTATGTTTCAATAAAATTCAGAATTTAGAAATAAGATCAAAACGTTTTTTTTAGCTTTGTTGCCACCTAGAACCCATTAAGTCAAGGTCTGAGGGTAAGCAACAACCACTATTGGGAGTCTTACATTGTCATGGAAGGATATCAATTAAATACTTTAATATCAAATCATATTTTTCTATATGTTTCATATATCTGGTAATATTATACTAATGATGGATTTTTAGTCCTAAAACGTTCTGTGAAGTAGCCGTATTTTTTATTACATTTCTTTTATAAATGATTTCTAAATAAAACTTTTGTGATTCATGGTCATAGCCAACGGAAAGCCAACGTATAGACAACGGGAATTTCATTTTCCTAGTGTAAGCGAAATGAAAGGTATAACTATCACGAAAACGTGAATGTAAGAAAAGGCAAACCACAGTTCGAACAATAAAAATTCAAAAAATTGGACCTTTTTAAAAATAGTATTGCTGAACTTATTGCTTATTAAGGTAGTATATTTATGCAGTTATTTTTTATATATGTGTGTAAATAAAGTGCTATAATGAGTTAAAAAATTAGACAATAGACTTCATGTTTATAAAATACTGATTTTTAGTCTTTGAAACACGTATTCTATCTAGATAATATCCATTTAATAACTCTCTGTTTATTAGGGTTCTAAAAATATCTGTTTGTATTTGATTGTGTGGGCAGGTAACTCGTTGAACCCTTTCTAATTCTCTCACATACCTATTTCTATATCATTACAAACCTCTAATTTACACCATTGTATCTTGTAAATTGCCACATTCCTGTCAAATGGCGCTAATATCTTCCAATATATCCTTTTCAGAGTTGACCCTGGTTTGTCGTACGGATTCACAGCTAAGATGTTCACTAGAGAATTCACCAAAACTACCGTTTCTCCTGGCGTTGACCACCAAAGTCTTCGTACCGTAATCTGTAACGTATTTGTCGTTGTTTAGTGACACGCTTTGATAGCCACACTTGCACCAGTCTGGATAGTGGGCAGTCAAAATCCTCTTAAAAGCTTCTCTAAATTCAGTGTTAAATATGGAATATATGATGGGATTAAACGCTGAGTTGGAATATCCCAACCAAGTGAGAATTTTAAATGTTATATCTGGGATACAGGTTTTGCAGAACGCTGCTACGATATTTATACAGAAGAACGGTACCCAGCAGATAAGAAACACACCCATTATTATGCCTAAAAGAAAAGAAAAAAATTAAAAATTAACGTTTTTACAAATCATATTTATAGTATAGATGTTAAAACACAAATTAATAAGTTAAACAAAGACAATATTTAATTGGTAAAAAGAAATATATACCTATTACCTATATTAATAGACCTATTTCGGATACTATAATTTCCTAAGCATTTTCATCTCTGTGGTACATGGTAAACTAAATGCTGAAAATATCATCACCCGTATTAGAGTGCTGTCTGGTACAGAATATGCAGCAATTATGCGAATTTTATATATGTGTGTTTTTATTAAATATGAATTTAAATTGATTGAATAAAAATTATGTAAAAAGTGATCTAGTAAAATTTACATTAAATAAGTAAATAATACTTGCCGATACAAGGATTATTATTAACTGTTTGAGAAAACATAATTAACACACTGTTGTGGTATGAATTTTAACTATGTTTTAACTATGTTTTCTCAAACAGTTAACAATAATCCTTGTATCGGCATTTAAGTAATATTTATTTATTTATTTTTTAATTTTACTATATCTCTTTTTACATAATTACACATAAAATATTGACATATTTGCTGTATATTCTGTACCTAGCTGACAGCACCCTAATACGGGCTATTATATTTTCATCATTTAGTTTACTATATACCGTTGGCCTGAAGATGCATAGCAAGTTATAGTTTGCAAAACCGGATGTTGGTGGTAGAATAATTTGATTGTGACTAAGTTTTATTAATATTTGTTTTTACCTATTAGAAATGGACTCACATAGGCAATATATTGAAGAATAAAATATTTTATACTTAAAATAAAAAAAGTGGTTTCAATACCTTATAACACACACACACATATACAGTGCTTTTCAGATAAAACTATCCACCTTAAATAACTTTTAAACTTCTAATTTTTTGGAAAAACGCAAAAGCACGTCAATTAATATCTGAAGGGGGAGACATAATATCATATTAAAGGTTGCTGGAAAATGCACCCTCTCACCCCCTGTATTAACCCTTTATTTTTTTTTAAATTACTTTCCCGTTTTTTTTGTTTTATATTTGGATTCTCCTTTTTGTTCTGATTTCAAAAATGTATAATACCTTTGGCTTTATGTGATTAGTATATCAGATAGATAATTTTCCTGTTAACAAGACAGTATCTCCCTCACCTTAATTGAGTCTAACAAAAAAGGTTGTAGCATAATTTAAACTCTTTAAATATTTAACCGTACTATTCGTAGTACCTTTAAAAACCAAGAAACAAAATAATTCACTTTTTATTCAAGTTTTATCAAAGGTTTTCGATATCATTTTTACAGTTGTTTTAATCGGTTAATAGCGACAATTTGTTATAACTTGTAAGTGACAGCTTATTTTGATACATGTGCAATTTGATCGCTGAAATGGTGTACACTTTGCAAGAGAGAATCGAAATTGTAGGTTTATACTACAAAAATAATAATTGTGCACGAGATGCTGCTAGAATTTTTAATGAAATACACCACAATAGACATGCAACTCATTAGTGTGTGATTGAACTGATGCAGAAAAAATTAGATCAAGAGGGTCAGTTTGCAATAAAAAACATAACCGACAGAAACTTGTAAATAAAAAAGCAATCCAAGTAGCTGTTTTAGGGCAAGTTAACTTAGACTCTTAACAATCACAGTCACTGTCAACAATACGCAGAGCAATCGGTGTTTCATCTTCTACAGCCTTCCGAGTCCTCCATAAATTTAAGTTTCATCCATATAAAATTACCTTAGTACAAGAGTTAAATGAAGAAGATTTTGATCGTCGTCCCGAATGTTGCGAATTAATGATAAAATGCATCATTAACAATCCACAATTGTTAAACAATATTTGCTTCTCGGATGAATGCTCATTCTCATTAAACGGTTTGATGGACAGATATAATTGCCGTAACTGGGCTGAGAGTGATCCACATATTGTACGCGAATTTCACACATAGCATCCTCAAAGGTTAAACGTATGATGTGGTATCCTACGTAATCACATTATCGGAACTTTCTTTATCACTGGAAACTTAAATGGTGCATCGCATCTTGAATTATATAGGCAAGTGGTTGATCGTTAGAACAATAGTAGCAAATGATGATAACCTTTCCGATGATTTGGTTGTATTTCAACATGATGGAGCTTCTCCACACTTTGCTTTACCTATGCGATAATTTTTAAACGAAACGTTTCCCGGTCCTTGGATAGGTAAAAGACGACAGATGATCGATTGGCCACCTAGGTCACCGGATTGAACACCTCTAGACTTCTTCTTATGGGAGTATTTAAAAACAAAAATTATGCTACTCAACCAGCATATCTAGATGATTTACAACAAAGAATAGAGGGTAAATGTCGACAATTAAATGCAGACGTGTTAAGCAATGTCAGAGAAGAATTTCAAAATAGATTGTACTATTGTATAAAAGTGAAAGGCAGTCATTTTTACAATTATTGTAAACATTTTTAGTAGTGAAATGTTTGTTCTAAATGTGTGTAATAAAATTGTTAAAAAATAATTTTTTTTCAATCCAATTTTCTTGCTTTTGTATTTACTTTTCTTATAAACTAATCACTTCAAGTATCATGTATTATACATTTCTGAAATCAGTACAAAAAGGAGAATCCAAATATAAAATAAAAAAAGGGAAAGTAATTTAAAAAAAATAAAGGGTTGATACAGGGGGTGAGAGGGTGCATTTCCAGCAACCTTAAATATGATATTATGCCTCCCCCTTCAGATATTCATTAAAGTGTTTTTGCGTTTTTCCAAAAAAATAGAGGTTCAAAAGTTATTTAAGGTGGATAATTTTATCTGAAAAGCACTGTATTTATATTGTATTAAATACTTTAGTTAAACACTTTATATTTTCGTCATTCAGGATTTTTAATATTTCTACTGAAATTTTATCAGGACCCGGTGCTTTAGCACTTTTTAAGTTAAGTCCTTGATGTACTTTTCCCAAGTTTGTTGTTTTTCTTTTTGTAGATTTCCATTGAAGTTTCTTGTAGTATTCTCTTCCGTGTATTACCCGAAATTTCTTTCAGTTTAATATATAGGTTAAGTGTGTTGTGTTTCATGTTAAACTCTTCTATTTCTTTGCAATTCTTTGAACGTGCTAGAAATCTTTTCGAACCTTTTCTCCTTCGTAAGGATGTAGTGGCGTCATGTAATTTGTTTAACTATTTCTGTCCAATTATTTCTCTTCTGTGTGTGTTGTTATGCTTCAGAGAATGAGGAACCAGTTATGTCCTTTATTTGGTCCGACTATCGTACTTAAGATCTTCCTCTGGATCTTTTACCCCGTACGTTACCTTCAACTATCACTCACTCCATGTCTTCCCTTTTTCTAGTAAAATTTTCAAAATATATCAATATATTTTGGATGATAGTTGTGATTAGTCTAGTTTTTACGTTAAGTTCTGCTGGAATTGAGTTATTTGTGCGATGGGCGGTCCATAGTATGCGCAAAATTCTACGGTGCACCCACATTGTAAATGCCATTATATGGTTTGAATCGGCATTTTTATTAACCAAGTTTCTGAAGCATAGGTGGCAATAAGAAATATCAATGCTTGAATAAGGCGTAATTTTGTATTTTTTGTGATATCAGTGTTCTTCCAAATATTTGTGAGTTTAGCTGTTTGCGATCTGGCCATTGTCATGCGTCGACGGATCTTGTCTTTGCATCCTCTACTGTAAGTAATAACGGAGCTTAAGTAATTACATTGCCTGACCACTTCATAACCCATGTTTCTTATATCTGCTTGGTTGTTTCTGATTCTTTCGATGATCATCACTTTAATTTTATGAATATTTATTTTTGAACCATAGTTTCGTACTCACCGTGCCTAATCTATTCATAATTTGTTTCAGTTCTTCTGATATAAATGCCAATATAACAGGGTCATCAGCATAACTTAAGTTTTTGATTTTTCTTCCTCTTCTACCTTGCTATTCCTCAAAAAATTGACGCATAATATGTTCACTATATATATATTGAATAGAATAGGGGATATAATGCATCCCTGTCAAACTCCAGATTTTAATTTGAAGTTTTTAGAAACCATATTATTGACTCTTACATAAGCAGTATTACTAACATATAGTTTTTGTAATAAATAGATTAGATTTTTTGGCGTACCCCTGGGACGTATTCTCTGGTACAAATCCGCATTATTTTTGGGGAATTTGTGGTAAGAGAATTACTTTTAGTCTTTCATTGATGATGGTTAGAAGTAATTTACTTGCATGTGATATCAATGCTACTGTACGGTAATTACTGCAATCTGTCAGTAAACATTTGTTATATATTCTGTTTTTTACTATATTGTTTTTGTTTTATACTTTTGTATTATTTGACTGATTTATTTTTTAGCTTTGTCCATAAAATTGTTCAATAATTTTCAGTGACAATAAAGCATATTTCTATTCTATTCTATATGGGACTAAACGTGAGTTTACCCCAGTTATTTGGCAACTTTCCGGTATTCCAGATCTCAATGCAAATTCTAAGCATTACTTTCGTCCCTAATTATCCCATTTCTTTATATGTTTTAGCTGTTATTTCATCTTCTCCTTCTGCTTTTCTGAATTTTAGCTTTTTAATTGTCGCCTCAAATTCTGATTTCAATATTTAAGGTTCTTTTTCATAACTTCCTTTCTCTATATTATTGTCTGGGTCATTGTTAGAGAATAGTATTTCGCAATATTGTTTTCACACCTCTGCAATACCATCTAGGTTTGTTATGGTATTTCCACTATTATCTTTGATGATTTGTGTCTACGGTTTAAATTCTTTCGCTAGATACTTGTATTTTAAGAAAAGTTCTCTAGATTCTTGGTGATCAGCATGTTTCTCTAGTTGTACACATATGTTTTTAATATTATTATTTATGTCCCTTCTACATAAGTGTTTTATTGCTGTATTTATGGTGCATATCTCTATTTTTTATTTGTTTTGAATTTTTTTACAAGATTAAGCGTCTCTTCAGTCATCCAATGTTTTTCCTAGCTGTTTTGTCTTTGGGATTAGCATTGTTGATAACTTCAGTGATCCCTTACTTTGTGTATTCCCACGTTTTATTAGGATCTCCTTTAGTTACTGGTAAGTCAGATTCTGCTAATGCTTCTCAATATTCCCAGATAGAATTCCTAAATATTTCCATCTGCCTTAAAAGCAAGGTCTTTGGTCAGTGTTTACTTCCAGTTCTAATGTATGGAGCAGAAACCTTGACACTTACCAGAAAACTAATTAATAAAATATAAGTGGCACAGATGTAATGTAAATGTATCCCCCAAAGACACAGTTTAAATTAAAGAATGAGAGGAAAAACTGGTGATATGGACGTAATTAAAAGAACTAACCACTAGCCACCATACATATAGTCATCAAGAACGTCCTCCGGACGTCCTTATGCGTATCCAGCTAAACTGAATTTAAGGTGTTTAAGATCAAAGACAATTGAATCATTTACTAACGACCTATGTTCAGCATGGATTCAGAACTGCTAATGATGTTGATGATAACTGCAATATGTAAATTCACCAAAACTAAACCTACGACTTAACTGAGAACTGTTTTCGAGGTATATTGATTACATTTATGGTGAATAGCTGAATTACTATAGACGGAAACATGTGACCGACCCTATCGAAGCTGGAAATGAGATAAGATATGAGTCCTCTATTGTTAAATCTGATTATGGATAAAATAAAAAAACAAAATAAGAACTAAAAAAGGATACCAAATGGGAGAAAAACAACTTAAAATAATCTGCTATGCAGACGACGCAATACTACTCTCTTAAAGTAAATATTATTAACAACGTATGCTGCACCAATTTAATATAACCACCAGAAAATTTAACACGTTAATTTCCTCGAAAACGCAGAATGCATGTTTACAACAGCAAATTTACTTAGATGTTAATTGGAGCTGGAAGGTAAGATAATAGAACAAGTGATGGAGTTTAAATATCTAGGCATCACATTATCTAGCTACACAAAGCTCAAAATTGAAATGGAAAATCAAGCAAAAAGAGCAAACACAGCTGCAGGCTACCCAAATGAAATAATATGGAGAAATAAAAATATCTGTAAAGAAACGAAAAGCAGAATTTACAAAACAGTCATCAGACAAATAATGACATACGCGGTAGAAACAATACTTTGCACAGGGAGGACAAACAGGATGTTAGAAACAGCATAGATGAAAACACTTAGAAACATTGATGGTAAGACTATAGGGCAGAGCTGAACGTACAGATTTACGACATTGATGCAAGGTGGAGAACATTAACAGGTGGGTAAGAAATAGAAGAGTAAAATGGAACCATAATAAGCCGAATAACAACAACTAGAGTAGTAAAGACGGCAAGAGACGGTTCCCCATTAGGAAAACGATCAGTAGGAAGACCATGAAAACGGTGGAACAACAACTTACTGGGGTTACATTAAAAAACAGACAGATTCATGTCCATATAAAAAGAAGAAGAAGAAGAAGGAAACGTGGGAGATAACGAAAGAAGAGTTACGTTTTTCATAAGATATTCTAAGAATTTTGTTTCATACAATCCAATCTCTAAATTTCAAAAAAATAGAAAATTATTACAAAATATATGGTAATATTAGAAATACTTCAATAGATATTGGATAATGACTAGAAGAAAAAAAAAACAATTAAAATCATATTGTATTTTTTTAATGTAATCACATAAAATATTTATGATTAATGAAAATTTAAAAATTCAATTAAATTTGCATCAGTGTTAAACATTAAATCCAGTTCTGTAAAACTAATGTACTTACCTACGGTAATGGCAGCTTTGTGATCGCTGACGTGGTATGGACTACTGTGATGATTATGAAGGTGAATGTGAAGAGCTTTGTTCTTATGTTTGGTGCTCTTCTTTTTGGTATTTGGATCTGGTAAATCAATTGGTCTGGTAATGGCTCGAATATTTTTTACATGTTTTTGAGCATAACAATACAATCTACAGTATATACCTGAAACAAAAATATGGAAAATAGAAGGAGCGTTATTATTGATATATTATTATTTTTTATTCTGTTATAAACTGGCATTAACACAAAGATATTAGTACATAAAAACTTAAAATTTATGATAGTTAATATTAGTTTGGTTAATCCAAAATTGTTAGATAATCCAATATAATTTTTAACGTATGATCTGGTATATGCGGGTAGCGGGTAGGAACTCTTCGGACAGTTCTATCAGGGAAAAGGAATCGTTCCCTGCCCTCCGCAGATTCCAGGGGTTTCCTGACCCGGGAAACTAGCACGTTTTTAGGGTCCCTTGTCCAGGGTTACGGATAAAGACCACAACGGCAATCACGGCGGAGAAGTATACCTTCGGTACGACGAGAATGGCGGAAGTGGCAATCCCGTGATTTTAGGGCTGGTACAAAACAGCGTCTGATCCAGAATGGATGGCTGCAAACAGCGTCTGACTCCAGGTTAGGGGCGCCTGAAATCTAAACTCGCCAACCCGCTCGGTAAGCGTGGCGTTTTAACTGCCATTTTCCCTTCAATATATTCATGCATAAATCGAGATTCAAAAATATAGTACCCCAGGTGGGTAGAGTTTATATCTCAGAATCCCACTCCACTATGGACTGCCTCACGGATTCTGGGGGAGGCAGAAGATCGAAAATACATGACAAAAATAAACAAATTAACTCTCAAAATTTTAAAATTACTACATACAACATTAAAACCATGAGAACGAACGACCATCTAGAGGAATTAGAGCAGGAACTAAGGGCTATTAAATGGGATATTGTAAGCTTATGTGAAACGAGACTTCAAGGAGAGAAAAAGACCACCCTAATATCTGGGCACACTCTATACCAATTTAGAGGAGAACCACAGCCAAGGAGGAGTGGCTTTCATGGACAACCGAAGAATAGAACACCAGATTGTGAAATACTCAGCAGTGTCGGAAAGAGTGATATATCTTGTAATACAACTGAATAAACGATATAGCTTACAGATAATACACTGCTATGCTCCAACTTCCACTGCAGATGACGAGTCAATTTCACAACTCTACGAAGATATAACGCGAGCTAAAGACCTAGGAAAAACACACTATGTTATCATCACCGGAGATTTTAATGCAAAAATAGGGCGACGAATACCAGGTGACTCGGACTACATAGGAAATTTCGGTCTAGGCAACAGAAACACCTGAGGAGAGACATTAGCAAATTACGTAAGCACCGAAAAAATGTTTTGCCTGAACACGTTCTATAAAAAACAAATACAAAGAAAGTGGACATGGCGTAGCCCTGATGGTCAGGTTACGAATGAAATAGATTTTATCCTTTTCAGTGATAGATCAATATGTAAAAACATCGAGGTATGGAAACAAATTTGACACCGGCAGTGACCATAGACTAGTTCGAGCTAATATACGTATTAACGTAAAGAGAGAAAGACAAAAACTATTAACAACAAACCCTTTACCGACGGCAGACATCCTAGCCAGTAATAAAGAGAAATACCAAGAGGAATTAGCACGAGAACTAGTAGCAAATACCTTTGAGCATAAGAATATAGATGAACTAGCTGAGAAAATAACTAAAGACATACAAACAGTCACTAAGAAACTTTGTTGCAGAATAAGAAAACAAAAGGAAGCTAAACTAATACCCGAAACTCTAGAACAGATAGAGAAAAGAAGAAGAACGAACAGAGATAACCCGGACTATAATGCGCTCAACAGAAGCGTTAAGAAAAATATTCGAAAATACCTCAGAGTTTATAGAACAAACCAGATTCTTGAAACCATAGAAAACAATAAGAACATGAAAGTACTGAAAACATGTAGATACACTGGCAGGAATAAAATCATAAAGATAAAAGACGACCGTGGAACATTGTGCTCGCATAAGGAAGAGATCGTTAGAGAAATCCGAAAATTTTATGAGAAGCTGTATACTTCTACTATTCCGAATCCCGGTATACCAGCAAAACATATCTTAAATGTGGGCTCAGAGGACTTCCCTGAAATAATAACATCAGAAATTAGAGCCGCCCTAAAACAAATGAAAAATGGGAAAACACCAGAAGATAAAATTACTTCAGAGATGCTAAAAATGGGAGGCACTGCATTAGAAGAGGCAATAAGAGCATTACTTAATAAATGCCTATTGGAAGGACAAATACCGAAGACATGGAAAAATGCGGAAGTCATTCTACTCCATAAAAAAGGGGACGCCGCAAATATAGAAAACTACCGACCAATAAGCTTATTGTCACACCTTTACAAACTACTAACCCGAATAATAACAAATATATTGACGGCTAAACTAGATGCATACCAACCAGTGGAGCAAGCAGGCTTTCGTAAGGGTTTTAGCACTATCGATCACTTGAAAACAATTCGGACCATTATTGAAAAAACAATAGAGTACAACATACCACTACATCTGGCATTTGTCGATTATCACAAAGCATTCGACAGTATCGAGAAATGGGCTTT